GAACGTAAAACTGCCTAGATCCCAATTTTTAAAGACTTCGGTCGTCCGTAATGACGTCATCAAGATGGCGACTGTAAAAGGATGCTGGGTCGCCATGAATCGGTTATAACCTCCAATTGCCTGAACCGATTTTAATGAAATTTGGCATACAAGTGCTTGAATACATTATCTCAGCCCAGGTTGTCTGTCAATGGTCGAGTTTGATTAATTCGTTTCAAAATGGCGGCCGTTAATAATTAAAATAATACAAATGTATCAGTTTTTTGTGTTTTCAACTCCCTCCAGAGATCTGCATCAACCTATTAATTTTCCTTGCAATCACAGGTTGTGATGCCGTCTCTACTTTTCATGGAATTGGCAAAATACCCCCACCACATCAAACCTGCAGACTTAAGTGAGTTTCTATTTGCCTGATTTGATTTTAAATTAAATCTATTTCAATAACATTAGACTTTGTGAATACCTGGGTTTGCTGCTACAGGGAGAGTAATAAAGCAAGTTTTTTTATTCATATAATAGTAGCAAAGTTTAAAATAAATACATTTGCCAAGTTTCATAAAAATATATTCATAAACAAGCAAACTACAACAGTTTATGTATTCTCCGTAAGAATAACATGGGAATAATTAAAAAAATTGAACTTTCTCCGTAACCTATAACCGTACAAATACACTACTCAATATACTATTCAATATACTGTATATACTGTACTGTGTATTCAATATACTAAATTATTTTAGTTTTTTTCAAGATCTTGGAATTGTTTAAAGATAAATTGGAGAATGTCATGTTTTAGGTTTAAACATAAGAAACCCCAATTTTTACCCCTTAAATCCCGCCTAGAACCCCGTTCCCGATCACGCTGGTTCGCGAACTTGTTCGAAGAAACGTAGGTTTACACGTTTGTACCAAATGTTATCAAAATCGGATAGTTTTTCCTAACGGACACACATTTATACAAACAGCGTGTTCAAAAAGGGTAAGAACAAAATTTACAAATTGATCCCTTGTGCCTAAATAAGAAAAGCATAGTTTCGTTCAGATATCCACTGTTTTGTAATTTTTTATTAACATTTTTATATTTGGATTATTTTGACTGAACTTTATGAAACTTGCTATGTTTGTAAAGGTAGAATATGCCAATTTTAGGTAAAAAAATTACCTTGGTCCAATTCAAAAATTTAAAATGGCGTTCTTTTAATTTTTAAATACAAAATTATTGAAAATTGAAGATTTTATGAAAAAGTGTCAAGGACACTTCTGTTTAACATTTAAAATTCCCCATCAAACGATACCAAGTTCAAAAAAATCTTAAGAGAAATGACTGATATATCACGATTTTTAGTTGTAAATATAGTCGGATTGAGGCTAAGCTAGCCAGGTTTTCTTCAATTTACAACTAAAAGTCTTAATATTTAAATTATTTTTATTCAATCGTTTTGAACTGGAAGTAGTTTGATAGGAAAATTAAATGCTAACCAAAAGTTTTCTCGACACTTTTTCATAAAATCTGCCATTTTCAGTAATTTTGATTTTAAAAATTAAGATGCCCGCCATTTTGAAATTTTGAATTGGACCAAGGTAATTATTTACCCTAAAATTGGTATGTAGGTGTTTTTGTTCACCCTGTTTATGTGTGTCTCCGTTAGCACAATAAATCACACAAAAATGATCCGATTTCGATGACATTTTGTACAAATGTGTAAACCTACGTTTCTTCGAATAAGTTCACGAACCAGCTTGACCGGACCATGGGAACGGGGTGGTTGGGGGGATTTATGGGGTAAAAATTGGTTTTTCTCATTTTTGACCATCAAAACCTAGAAATCCCTAATTTATCTCTAAAAAATTGTGAAGAGCTTAGGCAAATAAATAATTTAGTATACTGATGTATTTTTGTACGGGTATTGGTTACGGAGATAATTCAAAGAATTGTAAATTTAAAATTATTCTTACGGATATTAAAAAAACTGTTTTAGTTTGCTTGGTTGGAGAATATTTTGATGAAACTAGGCAAATTTATTTATTTTAAAAGCTATTATTATATTAATAAAAACTCACTTTATAACTCTCCCTGTAGCAGCAAACCTAGGTACTCATGAAAACGAATGTTATTGAAATAGATTGAATTGAATATCAAAATAGGCAAATGGAACACACTTGGTCTGCAGGTTTGCTGTGGTGGGGGAACCAATTCCATGAAAAGTAGAGACGGCATCACAACCTGTGATTGCAAGGAAAATTAATAGGTTGATGCAGATCTCTGGAGGGAGTTGAAAACACAAAAAACTGATACATTTGTATTATTTTAATTATTAACGGCCGCCATTTTGAAACGAATTAATCAAACTCGACCATTGACAGACAACCTGGGCTGAGATAATGTATTCAAGCACTTGTATGCCAAATTTCATTAAAATCGGTTCAGGCAATTGGAGGTTATAACCGATTCATGGCGACCCAGCATCCTTTTACAGTCGCCATCTTGATGACGTCATTACGGACGACCGAAGTCTTTAAAAATTGGGATCTAGGCAGTTTTACGTTCAGGGACTTCTATACTATGCTACCACCTCAAGTTGCATGTTCCCCACCAGAACTGAAGTATTCTGCCACTTTATACAACCATACTATATGCATTTTGGTCCCACAGGTGCGTTACATGAGAGTGTACTTGGACACTCGCCGTTTACGTCAATATTGCTCAAACATTGTTATATTATATATGGAAATGAAGCGGAATTTAAAGCTCTACATATTTGTTGCAGGTAAAATTTGCATTTCCTCAATAATAATGGTGAAAACCCCCAAAAAATAAGAATATGTCTTATTTTTTTACATATTTTAAAGTTTAATTTGTTTTTTTCACTATTAACAATCATATTACTATTATTTAATATGGTATTTTCTTGTAGATAATATTATGCCAAAGAATCTAAGACTAATTAGACTTTTCTGGATGGAATGGTTTGGGAACAATAAGTTTTTAAGTGGAACCTTGCAGTGTTTTACAGATTGTCCGTCATTTTCCAAGATGGCGGATTTTGCTACAGTGGGAAAAGTTGGGAATTTTCACAAAATGTTAAGGGAAGCATGCCTAACACATTCCAGTTGGTTTTGCTTTGTTATTAATTTTGCCCAGGTAAAAGTCTAAAAGGCCTAGCCTAGTACTGTGTTAAAATTGAAACAAATTAATCACAAGTATAAACCCGTATGAAAGCTAAAAGAAAGTAATACGACGCATTCTTTTAGAAGGATAAAGATACATATTTTATTTCACGATGAATAAAATTTAGTTTTTAAGTAAACATTAAGCAATAATTTTTACAAGTAACAAACTACTTACATCAATGAATATCATATATTCGTTGTACAAACTGCACATGTTACATGGAAACTGTTATATCCAAAGAAGAGGGCATTTATTGATTTGTTCACCCGATTAAAAAGTTATTAATATTATAAATTCTTGTAACTGACATTTACTATAAGAGAACTTCATCCTAATTTGACCAATGCTAGTCTGATCAGCTGATTAAAAATAGAGTTCACCTTCAAATCTGATGATCGCTGGTTCAATTCCAAGCTGAAACGATTCTAGGTCAGATGTTATTTGTCATTATACTAACAATTAATTATACTATCTGACACTGTTGTCAGATTTGGACCGTTCCCTTAGTTAACTTTTTTTTCTCAATTAGTTAGTGTTCCTTTGCTCCTGAGATGTGCATTCGTGTAATGTTGTACATTTTAAAAGAAACTCTTACCAAATACAAGTTTACTTATTTTCAGGTGAGAACTCAAAGTAAGTCTGCAATTCAATAAAATCTATATTATTTAGGAATTGCAAAAGCAAAGCAACAAATGTAATCTGTACCTAATCTTTAAAAAAAAACTATGTCGATTGCATTATATTGGACAGTGGCTAATTTTCAACACATACATATAGAGTCTGCCCAAAGTCTATAGAACCCAATTATCCATCCTGCATCTCAAACGTTGTAAAAAATAACGTAGAAAGTTTTCAATGGGATTAAAATGGATTAAAACACACAAAAATTCAATGGTTTCCCGCAACAATATTTTTACTCATTTAATCAGCTGATTGTGCACGAACAACCCTAATGTTACCAAGCGCGAACCAGAGTATCTGTGAAAGGATCAGGGTATAATCCTGTCTTACGTCTCCATATCAGCGAATCTACCGGTTTTGGCGCCGACTCTAGTAACGACAGACCGACCGTAAAATCACCCTAAAATATTAAGGTTAAAGAAACAGAAACACTAATTAAATTTCAATATTAGAAAAAATTTGTACATTTCAAACGGTTTTTTTGCATGGATAGGGATAGCAATATACTAACATCCCTAGGTGAGCAAGCTGGTCTAGTGGTAAAAGCGCGGGACACCGGTTCCTGGGGTCCCGGGTTCGAATCCCGCCAAATCACCAATTTTATCTAAGTAATAATGCCGTAACCCCTAGGTCTAGTCTGAAGTAATGTGAAAAACAATTCCAGGCTCGTGCCTAGCGTCCTAGGACAAAAAAAATAAAAAATATATACAGTAGGCTACTACAATCCCTAAGATAATTATGTCGGAACACAAATAGACATTATTTTCTTACTCAAACACCTCAGTTCAGAAATGTCAGCATTTATAAAGTTTCATTGTACATTTCCACCAGTTTTGCAAGGGTAACAAAAGATATCAATCCTTAAATTTCTATATAATATTTCGATCATCAAATATTATTTTAAAAAAACTCGGTTTATACTTTAAAATCCAACATGAAATAAATTACACATCACCACCAGTTTTTTGGATTTTGACAACAATAGACTCCGCCCCTAAAATAACTCTAAAATATTATTTTTCAACTAAAAGCCTCATTTCAACCTAATACCGGCTTCTGTTTTGCAAGGATTACAAATGAGCCTTCAAAAGTACCTAAATTGGTTATTTTAGAGATTTTGACGGTATAGCACCTTCTATGGGGTTACCTTTTTATCCCGGCAATGTGCAGGTGTTTTGTAGGTGTAGGGGTTGGTTATCACAGAATTGCACAGAGCGGCACAGCGATCACTTACGCGGCTACAGCGACACTGACAGACTCAGACACACCCCGCTTGCTGCCGACCCACCCCCCACCCCCTCACACAGCCACCCGGGTACAGCGTACAGCGTACAGCGTCACCACGTGTTACCGTTCACATCACCCGCACGCGCACACACACAATTGCAATGTATTTTAATGTAGCATCAATATAAATCCGCTCTAAGGAACACGAACTTTTGAGAAAACCCGAAAACCGCGCGCCTAACAACTGTTTGAATAAAAAATTAGTGTTTTGATATACCTTCTCCTAGAGGCACGAAACTAATTTCAAGGTTGTATTTAATAACATTAATTAAAAACATTTTAATTGCGTAAATTGTTTAATTGTTTTGATGGGCTAGTATGCTATAACTGTTTATCTACGTTTTCTCCGAGATAAACTTTCGATTATTGTCACAAATTTTCTATGTATACATTACGATATACCTATTTGTGTAACTAGTGTGCAAAGTGGCACTTTACAGCACATGAGAGATATGTTAACGCACGAGCCGTAGGCGAGTGTGGAAAATTTCTCGAGTGCAGCAACGGCACTTTGTACCCACGTTACACATTATATTTTCCTACAGTTACTAATAATAAATATCGTGTTGCCAACTTATTTTGAAGCATAGGCCTACACGTATACGTGCCTAATAAATGCACACTGTTTTTTTTTTTTTTTTTTTTTTGGTTGAAATACTGGAGTGCGGCAAAAGTGAGTAAATGCAGCAATTAGCTACTTTGCGTGCTGTAAACCGTGCAGGGAAGGCCACTTTGTCAGGTGACTGTAGGAAAAAGTTATTAGTTTTGATTCTGCCACATAGCTGTGTGCAAATACATACACCAAAGAGATTATTATTAGTTTTACAATTGACAAAATATTTCTTGTATGCTAAATATAATGTGATGCTAAGGATTGATGCCTCCATAATTTTTTTAATGTAGTTTAGCCCTGAACTCAATCGTTAATACACAATACCATTCAAGAATCGCCACCTACAATAGCATTATCGGTAGATAGATTGATTTTTATAGATTAGTTGATAGTGACCAATATTTACATTCCAATTTATTGGGTATCCCTTTAAAAAATTTTGTTTTCATTCAAAATTACCCATTCTAGATTAGAAGGAAAAGTTACTATTTGTGAAAAATAATATGTTTTGTACTTATATCTTTGAAAAGTGTTCAACTCACTTAATCGAACCAACCATCAATAACTTTTGCTTGTCTTTTTCATAAAATTTTTGTGTCTGTAGTTGATTTTAAAACTAACACGTTAAAAGTGCCCCAACTTTCTCGGTCGTTGTCAGGTAGGGATCCGCATCAAAGTTATGACACCCTCAAACGTAATGGTGGCTTGTCGCCACCGCACTTAGCTAAATGTATCTCCCTGATTTTTCCTCCCATACTACCTCTTTGCTTTGTGAAATCGGCTCGACAAGTTTACACTTTTGGATCTATGTTGTATATCTTGACAAATTACAATTAAGCTAAAGTTTTTTATACAAAATGCAGTTACTACTTTCACGATATTATCAATGAATATTAGGCTTACTATATACCTTTCAACTAATATGGATGATGCAAATAGACTTTTCATCCTTAAGTAAAATTTAGTAGCAAGCCTGCTGACTAAGTGAATTTAAATTTTCCTAAATGGGGTTTTCACTAAAAAAATGTTATAAGCATGTCAGATGTATTCTCTGTTTAAATAACATTAGGTTTAATGATTAACAAAGGTTTGGTGATCCAGGGAACGTGGTAAAACGTGTTTGTGTTTCTTTTGTAAACGGTTATAGCCTAGCATGAGGAATAATCTACGTATACATGGTGTCGCACGTAAGGTGTCTCAAATTAATTACGGAAAAACGGCTTAACGTAAAAGTATGAAATGAAATTATATCCCGCTCATCGACCCCAAGGAATAACCAAAAAACATGTTTACAAACTATTTCCGATACAGAGTGTGCCAAAAACTGAGGGTCACTAGTTTGAATCTCGGAACTTTCGAACAAAAACATATTATGTTATGTTATAACATTATTTTAAAGGCATTTAATAGATAAACGTTTTGGCGAAAACAGAAATTAATTATCTTTTTCCGTTTTAAAATGGTGACAGGTTTTTTTACAATCGATGTGTTTTTAATACTCTGTGTATCCTATACCAATGCACTTAGCCCTTCTCCGGTTGAATGTTCTTACTCGTTATGAAATTATCTTTACTGTGATATGAAAATTTGCAAATGCTTATTGTTCAAAATTTTCAAATAGCAACATATGTCAAGTGTCACATCATTTTATAGGTTTTTAATTATCAACAACTTTGTATTTTACACTTACTTCGTATCTCTTTTTTGTGTGTAGGCCCCTAAATAACAAAAACCTAATTTTATTAAAACGTTTTTATTAGCTCGCTTTCTTGTCCGGTACAAATTTTGCAATAAATTGTATACTAACTTCCCGATGAGCTAGAGACTTGAAACTTGAAACATAGCTCACAAATGGAAGACAATGCAATATTATATTATTTAATTTTCATATTTCCCTTGGGCTATGCCCCATGGGCTTGTTTTCATTAACTCGCTTTCTTGCAAATTTTGATATCAATTTTAAACGAAGTTCCCGATGAGCTAGAGACTTGAAATTTGAAACATAGCTCACAAATAGATCACAATGCAATATTATATCATTTAATTTCCATATTTCCCTTGGGCTATGCCCATGGGCTTCCAAATTTTCCATGTTTACATTTTGAAAGAATGTGAATAAATATATCAATTAATTTAAGTCAGCTGTAAATACTTAAATTTGACAGTTCAAAGAGCAGAGGTTAAGAGGTACAGGTTATGACATGTTTTATCTATGGTTATGATCCCAAGAGATTCTTTATACAAACATTTCAAAATATAGATAAACAATCTGATTGCAGATATAAAGATGTTTGTTAATAATGTAATTTTGTATTTATTTATTATTCTATAAAGTAAACAATAAATTAAATAGATTGATATATTTATAGTTAGTAGGTAGGCCATACATTCAATCTAATACATAATTATATGAAAAGAAACTCAAATATACCTTTGATTTCCCACATGCCTCTGTCTTAATCTGATATAGATGCTTGAAATAGATTTAACATCCTCACGCATTAAAAAACTAAAAAGTAGAAAATAATTTATAAATAAAAAACGTTTTTAAAACAAAACGTTTTTAAACGCACTAATAAGTAGAAAATAATTTATACATATGTGGAGAGTGTAATACTTGTAAGATTTAAAACGAAAAACGTGGGGTGCATGCAATTGATAGTAATACATTAGTTCAATAGGTGAGGTAATTGTAAATTATCTATTGCATGCACCCCACGTTTTTCATTTTAAACCTTACAAGTATTTATACTCTCCACATATTTATAAATTATTTTCTACTTTTTAGTGCGTTTAAAAACGTTTTGTTTAAAAAAAGGTTTTTTTATTTATAAATTACTAGCTGTACCCGCGGGCTTTGCCCCGTTTAACTTCTTCATTTTCAAGATGAGCTCGTTCGCATGGCTCAATCACGTCCTAATCACGTGGCTCACTTTTAGGTTGGAGCTCGTTCGCTGCGAGTAGGATAGGTATGTGCTTCTTACTCCCGGAGCCAATATGATCTCTTATGGGAATATCCGTCTCAAAATTCCGGAGCCGTCCCCCCACCACTCCACTTGCTCGTGTAAGTAATTAACGAGTATTTAAGATATTAATCAACCATCATAGGCTAATTATGGGTTCATCTGCAGTTTATACGGGCTCTTATCCCTAAAAATCTGGGAGTCAACCACTAGCTCAAATAGAAAATTAGTAATTAACGACTAAGATATCAATAGTTACAGAAATTGCTAGAAAAAAAGATCAACGAAGTGTAGCAGTGAATGTGTTCACTGCTAATGACGCACTTGTGCGTCATAAGTATATTAGCAGATATATAATACATGATGTATATAATTACATAATATATTTTAATCCACAATTTATAGTATAAAATTTATTTAATTAAAGATATATTGTCACTCAATTAACATGATCATGTTAATGTTTATGTTTTTTAGCCATTTATAAAAGTATTACATATCATTAGCAGTGAATGTGTTACATATAGTTTCGATGTAAATTGTGTTTTTCTATGCGTTATTATTTACTATTTAAATTAATTAGTACGTATATCTAATTTAACGTTAATAAATGATAATTTGTTAGTAACTAATAAATATAATCCTAGTTTTACTTAAATAAAATTCAAAATTTATTACAGTTTTAGTAAAACAAGTATCAGGAGTGGAAGATTGCGTAACTGCTTTGGAAACTCATTTTCCACGTGTAAAATCAGTTAAAACTTATGATTATCCATATATAAAGCCCACAGTATCCATGAACTTTTGAGAAAACTACAAATCACACCTCCGTAGTCCATATACTGAAAATGTTTGTCAAGACGAGAAACCTTGCACAAAAATCCCCCCCTTTAAGGTCGTAATTGCTTTCCAAATGAAACTTTCCATATACCTAATGTTAAAAATACTTCAGCTGTACTTATTTGTATGTTATTCTTTCAATTTATTACCTTATTAAAATTGGGTGTGAATATTTTTTTTATATAACTGTATTCTGTTTTTGTTGTTGTGCTGAACTTAACCAATCAATAGTTTTATTGATACTTATGAAGTCAAACAGTGTGAAGCCCGTGGCTTACCACTTGAAGTGATTAAATATGTTTTTAGCTGGCTTTTTGTGTAGATCTGTTTAGATTTTTTGTTACAACCTAGACATGGCTACATGATTTCATTCGTATATCTTCACAATTTCTGAGTTAAATATTTATTTAAGAAATTAAACATCCAAAGTCTGCATCTGCGTTGCCTCTACCAGGCGAGCAGAAGTGGCCAGAAAACTGGTTTAGTGGACGGGAAATACTAGTGTCTCATTCAGTAGTTTTTCTTGTATTACCAGCACAAGATGCTAACCTCAAGCAAATAATCAGGCTTTCATCTCATCCTACCATTCCTAAGTGTTCAAATAGCGTGAAT